CCTTTGCCTCATCCCCAGCCCACCACACAGCCAGCTAACATTTGTCTTTAGCTTTATTTGTTTTAGGATTTTTTTCCTCTTCTGTCCATACAAGACTTACTCTACAAACATTCTACAATACCTCGTTAACAATATAGGTGATGATGTGACAAGGTATAGCATCTACCTGGTTTCTATTGGGGCCTTTCCACTGCTGCAAACACATCCCCCCCCCCCCAGTTGCTAAGTGCAGCCTTCCATATTCATTTTTGGCTTGGGCTGCTGGAAAGTCCAGGCCCCTGGCTTCAGCAGAGTCAGCTGCCTTCATGATGACTGACTGGCCTTTGCAAAACACCCCTCAGGCATTATGTGAACTCCTTACGGAGCAGAGTCTAGGATTCTTCTGGAAAACCATTAGACCTGTTTTTAGCATTGTTAAGCAGTCTTCTGAAACAGGATTATATCTGTGGTTTAAATAAGGACTCGAGCTGTTCAAATGGAAGGTCTGTTTAACTGGGAAAGGGGGGTGGGTTCTGTCAAGAATGGATGGCCGGTTTGGTCCCAAATGATTGGGTACGCTTTCCACTGCTTCTGCTGACAAGAGGTTTCATTTATACTGCTTTTATTGCTTGAAGGAGGGGAGCATTTTAGGTCCTTCTAACACCATTTTGAGCACTCCCACAAGATAGTTTTGGGTGCTGCTGGCCACAACCACATGCAGCATTAATTGATTTGGGATATTTGGAAGCTGGGTAAAATTGACAAGAGTTCTGTCAATTTGCCCGTCTGTCCCCTGTGTCCAAAAAGAGTGCAGTTGACAGATTGATAGAGGAGGGGCCCAGGATGAAGCAGGAGAGAAGTCTCTTGATGCGCCTGTTTCATTCCACACACCTCCTCTACCCCAATGACCTGTCACTCAGGCTGTTCTGGAAAAAGCTCAAGGGTCAGGTTACTGCTGCAGAACATCTTCATGCTGGCAACCTCTCAGTCGGGAAGACTGGACAATGGTTAAATCCCACGCACCTGCTCCTAGTTGTCTAACCACATGTTAAAGAGAGTGAGTTTTCCTGCAAGGTGAAGATACGAAACAAAGCCAGAGAGATCCACCAATCATTTCCTTTAAATTGTCCCCCAGTAAAGCTGTAAGAATAAGACCACTCATAAGCCTCATCGCTGAGGCAGATTAGAGTGCAGTCATTAGGACGGCATAAATTATAATGGCGTACCTTTCTGCTGACTTAAGGAGAGAAGGAGAGAACAAGGACAAGGAGAAAGAGAAGAAGGAGAAGGACAAGAGAACGAACATTTACACCACTGTGAAGAAGAGCCTTAAAAATAACTACATATTTTAAAACCGTACGTGGAAAAATAGTCCTGCAGAGGTAATCACAATATCATTGCAGTCCCACAAATGAGAGAACAATCGTTCTGAAGAAGAAAAGAGAGTGTCAGCAGCAGAAAGGAAGATAGCACTTCATCAACCTCCTGTTGCTATTGTAAAGTTTCCCTCCTGTCTTTTTCTGCCTTACTTGGTCAAATAGAAATGGGACTGGTAATATTCTCCTCCACCGCCTTCTTTCTCTGAAGGAAAAAAAAAGTTTGCTATGGCTTCCAGACTTTTAAAAATGCCCCTTTCTTCATTCCCTTCTCCCCCGCAAACAGTGACAAACCTGAAAACAGTCATATTAATATCCACTGCAAAGAAAAAATGAATCACAGTGACTTCAGTAGTGCTTATTTCTGGGTAGGTATGGAGGGCATCAAATGAGAAGAGAAAAATGATGAACCTGAATAGTATGAAGATGGGGGTATTTGCTTTTATCTTGACTTGGTTTTGAGGAATTAGAAAGTAATTTATTATGGAGGAGGGGGGAGATTAAAGTGGACTTTGGAGGAACAAGAAGAGCAAAAAATATCTCAATAGCAACAGTTCTTGCTCTGCAAAGTCATTCAAAATACCTAAAAGGTAAATTGGTACGGGAATACCTAAGGGGTGTCCTGAGATATTAAGAGAAAAGCTGCCACAACTACCACAGAAAAGCATAAAGGTACTTTTCCCAATGTCAGTTCTCCGGGTGGACCTCCAAGAGAGGTTACATAAACAAAAGTAAAAGATATTTATTTCTAACTAGGTGTAAGCAATTTACACTAACAAACTTGGAGTTGGGCAGTTGATAAAGATAAGTAAGTTAATATATTTCAACTGACACCAGGGGAAACTTCTGCATCGTTTACCTTTCACTGCAAATTTAAGATCTAATCATCTGTCTCCACGCACTGAAAAATGGCATTATCATAAAGGAGACGATGTTATGGCCGTTTCTCCTGTCATTTGTTTTTGTATTGCAGAAGTCTTTTTTGAAAGATCCAGAAGCATGTGCAGGAACCTCCCGCAGTCTAAAATGGAATTGATCAGGCACATGTTTCTCCATGTCTCTGAGTACTTGTGAGATGCACAGGTTATGCTGCTGTTTTGTGGTGGAAGGTGAATCGTTGTCACTTCAGAACACGACCAGCAAGCACAATTCAGCCCTGAAACAAATTTGCCCTTTTGTGCTTTGTAATCCAGGCTCTCCATTTGTTAAAAGTTATCTGGAAAAAAATTAAAATTAGATTCCACCCAATAACAAACATAGAGTACCAAGAGGCAGCTGATAAATGTTATTTGAAATTAATATTTGATACTATATAATAGGATAATCGAGGGCAGATATGCTTCCATGGAAAGTGAAGATAACACAGTAAAATGACTTTTAATAAAGGTTGCTTTCAGATGTTGGGCATTTCCACTACCAGGAGACACACAGAAATCCACATTACTTAGCATTTGCTGGGTCTTAGCAAGTTCCCAGTTGTCCTAAATGGAAAGTAAATTCTGTCGTTTAAGCTGAATAGGATACTAGTGGTAACTTTGAACTTGGATACAACAAAGCCACTGTTTTACTAAGCACCTTAATTTGCAGTTGTCCATCCAGATTCAACAGCATCTTGACTGTAAGCTACAGCCTGAGTGCTCTGAATGGAAATAATTACCCCTGCAACTGGGTTTAATAGTTATACACAACAAATTTCAAGCAGACATCTGGGCCACGGCACTGCAACAACCTTGGGCTCATTGTGAAAGAACATCTTAACAAAACAATGAGGGTGAGTCGCTTCCTGTTAGGCAGAATTTGAAATAGGCCAGAGAGAAGCTGAGAATATTAGGCTTGTGCTTCGTGAAAGAAAACGTTTATTGCACAACATTTTACAAGGGATAGAAGATTGCATCCTCTTTTTTACTTCCCATCCCAAACGTCTTCAGGAATTTCCAGATAACCAGCCCAACTCATTTGATTCCAGTATAAAATGCATCTAGGATTGATTTGGGCTATTTTGATTGATTATAGATCTATTCCCTGCCTTCCTTTCCTTTCAACTTTTCCCAAGCATACATTTGCCCAGGCAAAGCTAGCCTCGGTGACAGTGACTAGCACAACCTTTCTGGTTTGGTTTGGCTTTCCCGAGCTGGCTAGAAAGAAAAAGTGATGGGTTTTAGAGAAAGCTATTGGCTTCAAACAGAAGATTCTGGCCACCGATGGTCACATCATTTATGGACCACCAGAGGATTCATCTCCTGTCAAAACCAGGACTGACACTTCATGCAATAACCATCTTTTCTAGCCACTTCCTCTGACATTTTTCTTTCCGAAGAATATCTGTTTGGGTGAAAAAGATGGAATGGCTGCACCAAATCTTTTCTCTGGCAGTGTGAGTACTAGGAGCCCTCCGTCTGAAAAGTTCTCTAATTCTGGAAATTAACATCATGGGCAGGGGGGAGCGCTATAAATCATATCTCTCTGTCTATGTCTCTATCTCTCAAATAAAAAAATAACATAAAAACTGAACTAAAATCATGATTAAAAACCTTATTAAAACACACAAACATAATCAGCAGCTGAGTACAGACCATTCATAACATTCAGTACAACCATCGAGCAGGCTCTACATCACAACTGAATCCCTAAGTGTGGTGGCAAAGCCACATTTTCAGAGCGCTTAGAAAGGCCAGTAGTGCCAGGGCCTGTCTAAGCTCCGAGGGGATGATGCTCCAAAGGGCTGGGGCCACGGCAGTCTTCCAGGGCCCCATCAGATGACCCTTCTTAGTGGACAGGACTTGTAACATGCCTCTTCTGCTGGACCTGATGGGACAGGTGAATATAACTGGGAAGAAGTGATCCCTCAAATAACCCAATTCCATGCCATGTAGGGCTTCATATGTCATTACCAGCACCTTGAACTGAAACCAGAAGCAAATTATAGTCAATGCAGCTTGGGGAGCACAGATGTAATGTGCACTGATCTGCCCGCACTGCTGCATTTTGCACCAGCTGCAGATTCTGGATTTTGCAAACAGTTGCAATGTTGCAAAATGCTACCAACCTTTTTTTGAAATCTTTCAGGAAATTGAACTATGCTGAGTATACTATATCTGGAGCCCTCAATTGCAAAAATTAAATTTATCTTTAATTCCTTATGTTGTTTACTTTACAAAAAATAAAATTCTGTCCAGATTACTTTAAAAAGAAAATGTACATCTTTACCTTTAGTTCACCTGTTGAAAAGATATGGAAAACATTGCTCTACTGCTCTTGGGACGTACCAAAGTGTTTGAACTGGTTGCAATGTCACCTACAACTGAGTATGTTTTTAGGTCAAGAACTTAATGCAAATGAAATGGATGACATAGAAAGTTCTCCTTAAGGACATTTTTTTAAAAAGATAATCGTATCAGGAATGTCTGCCTTTCTTATATGAGATGCAAATAGGATAAGAGAGGCTTGGAGATATAGATATATATATATATACGTAGAGCAACCCTAACTGTGTTGCTTAGAAGCTGGGACCCACACTTCATTGGAATCAACAGCTTGGGGATAACGGAGCAATCATGAAGTACCTCTTGCTTCTGAGCTTGGTGGCACTTTCCCAATGTCTGACAACCAAGTAAGTAGTGAGCGTTGTGCTTTCTTCAGAGAAAACATGTACGGTTTCCTTCAGAAGAATCTAATTTTGTTTCTAAATTATGTTCAATAAACTCTTCCAGCAAACTTTCCGTTGTGATTGCTGGGCAAGCCACAAAGCCTTGTTGTGCCTAATTTTTCCACTGACAGTAAGATTTTCTTTCCCTTTTAGAGCTATATCTGCAAATGTAGTATGTATTCATAGGGTAGAACCTGCTTCTTTCTCTACAAAGTGTACCTAGATTTCAAGGCCTTTCTTCTTATTATTCGGAAATAATCTGAACCTAACTTTCCCACCCTCAGGGCCTCTAGATGTGTTGCAGGTATAACTCTCATTCTAGCTGGGAATTCTGAAGGTTGTACTCCTATGTTCTCTTAAGGGCATCGGATCTGAGAATGCTGTCCAACATGCATTTTTTTCAATCTTTAATAGCTATGAGCAGTTTCTTTATCTCTCGCTTAATTCATCTTTTCCTTTCCATTATTCAATGCTTAGGGTTCACCTAAAGAAAACAAAATCTGTGAGACAAACCCTTGAAGAGCAGGGGCTGCTAAAAGATTTTCTGAAGAAGCATCCGTACAACCTTGGCTCAAAATATTTCCCCCGGCCGCAGAACACATTTGCCTCTGAACCCTTACAAAATTATATGGATGTAAGTATTCTAAGTTAGAAGGAAATACACAGAATTTAGCCTATGGACAAGACTAGAAAATTTCAACACATGTTGATCTAAATCAATAGCCCCTTGCTCTGGAGAGCAATGAAACAGCAGTGCAGATTTAGGAAATGATCATTTTAAAAGTTTGAAAGTTATTTGAGATTACTGCTCATGGAATA